GGGGGTCAGTCCAGCTCGGCTCCCAAAGCTGAGCCGGAGGATGATACTCGCAACGACCTGCTGCAGGCCATCCGGCAGGGTAAGACTGAGTTTCCTTTGGGAAGTTGTACTTGTTGTTGTTAAGGTTGCTTCATGTATTTTTGTATACAGGTGAATCTCATTGAGACACAAGGTCTCCTTCTCAAGAGAGACCTGTTCAGTGGTAACACCACCACACACAGTTACAGACAGGACACTAAACACAACAATCAAATAAAACATCGTAAAAAGTAGTCAGATATAGCAGGTGCAAACACCCACAGATGATTTCTCCCGCTTTTTTAAAATGAGTTTAGAATCAAACTGGTCAGCTTAAGTTCCTGCTGAAGTGTGTTCCAGGGCGAGGGGGCAGAGTATGATATGGCTTTTTCCCCAAGCACCGTGCGTACTGAGGGGACGGACAGAGTGATGTCATTTTGAGATCGTAGGCTATAGCTGTACTGTTTGTGTGATATGTAGAGGGGCAGCAATCCAAGCATGGCAGCAATCCAAGCATGGCGGTATAGATGAGTTTGTACCAGTGCAGTGATCTGCGCATTGATAGTGATGTCCAGTTGACTAAAGCGTACAGCGTGCAATGGTGTGTGAGGGGTTTACAGTTGGAACCTCAGAGCCCCATGGGAAACAGCGTCCAGCAGATGAAGGGAGTGAGCTGGGGCGTTCATGTACACAACATCCCCGTAGTCCAAGAGCGGCAAAAATGTGGCAGCTACAAGCCGTGTCCTAGCACTTGTGGAGAAGCAGGCCTTGTTTCTAAAAGATAATCCCAGTTTTACTTTGTTTCCTGAAGAGATTGTCAATATGAGGTTTTCATCCATAGTGATGCCTAACCCCTGGATTCCACCGGGTCCGTCTGCATCGCGTCACGGCTGCGCTGCGGCCTCCTCCGGCGTCATACCCTACCGGGCGCGTTTCAGAAGCGGAGCGTCTTGCCTTCCGGCTCGCAGTTGATTTTGGCATATTTCCTGGACAGGCTACTTTGTACAGACAAAGTTAATAATAATATTACAGTTATAAACGACATGAATCAAAGATGTGTTGCTGTATTTTAGTGGTAAAATCATCATCATTATTCTATATATATCATTTACACAGTGTCTGTAAACCGGAGGAGAACGCTGGCATTTCTCCTCCTACTTGAAAGACTACGGAGGGATAGGGTCTGCAAAATTAGTTTATTTTTGGGGTTTGGCCCGGATGCTCTGACCGGTCCACTTCCTGCCCGGCGCTATGCAACGGCTCACGTCGAAAAATAGACTTGAATCCTATTTTGAGTGGAGCCCAGTGCCGAGACGCTTCTGGGACGCTTCTGAGCCGTAGCGTGGCGCGTCTGGTGGAATAGCACCCGTTGACCTAGTTTCTTATTTGAAAACAACATGACTTTTGTCTGAATTTAACAACAACCTGAGGTGGATAGAACAGTATCATCTGCATATAGATGTACAGAGGCATCAATATTTTGACCCACATCATTTACATAAATTGTAAAAAGGGTCGGTCCTTAAGAAGTTTAAGTTCTGCCCGCTGTGGAGCTTGGGATGGATACATTTATTCACGTATAGCAATAACACGTATTCATGGGATGCACGCGTGTCCTCGTTTCCATTGTCTCTGAAAGCCTACTATTCCCTATTTCCTTTACTCCTTACAGCGCATTTAAGGAATTGTGAAATGGCTTGCCTCAATCGATTGATTTCTAGGTCAAGTGATTGAGGATAGGGGCTGCGATTTTATAATTTAGAAACATAACATCTTACATCCATCTTACATCCTCTGACTGATTCCCTTGACCTTGATGGAAAACATAATTAGGTCTAGGGCATTTCTGAAGGTAAAATCATAAGGACTTGTGGAAAGACTAAGAAGAAAAACCTCCAAACGACACAATAGCAAACGTTGAAGATTTGTTTTAAGCGACTGTCTTTGTTACATATAGAAGTACAGTTGCTAGATCGATGCTGTTCAATCAAGTGAGGATTCCTGTCCATAATAGATCACACCCTCAAAAAAGGCTGTTTTCAATCCATCCATAGGGTTTCATGAAACTGTGCGATGGCATTATCTCCTTTGCTTTGGACAAAGATGGTTTAGTGTGTTCTATGCTAAATATGATAGGAAACGAAGGCTTTGCTTTTCACTTGGAGAATTCAACCAGCTCATATCATAGGGATATTGGGATGAACCCCTCGATTACTGCTTTTCTTTCTTAACTTTGCAGCACATGCTCTGTTTTTGGCCCATTACTGCAGCCAGCTCTGAATAAGTGGAATATCGAGAAACTCTTAACAACATTGCTGCATGTTTGGACGTGCATGATGTACTAACAGAGACCCAATTGTAAAAACTCTAAAGCGCTTCTAGTGAAATAAAACTCAACAAACCTTAAATCAGGGGTGTCAAACTCAAGGCCCAGGGGCCAAATCCGGCCCGCGACTTCATTTGATGTGGCCCGCAAGAGCTTGCAAAGAATATAATATACAATACAATTGTATTGTCATATGTACATAGCTACAGTGTAGTTATGACAACGAAATGCTTAGGTCACAGACTCCTCCAACAGTGCAACACAATAAAACATACAATTGTGCAAGTAAATAAAATAAAATGTAATAGAAATAGTGCAGAATAGTCTATATACAAGTAATTGGCATATTGATATATATAAGTTGCAAACAGATTCATGTTATGGATGTTCTTTCATTGTTGAATATTTGCTTTCAATGATGTGCCCGAGACTTCTGCTTTCAGACGTAGTTATTTATGAAGTTATTACCAGGACTGATAATAATCCAATGCAGAGCCAATAATATAATACATTATTTCATATATATTCTACATTTATATATGTATATTTATATCGTCTTAAAGTTGCAACCGGCCCTTTGAGTGCAACCATAATGCTAATGTGGCCCGCGATGAAATTGAGTTTGACACCCCTGCCTTAAATACGTTTTAAAATGAGAATTGTCTCTCTTTTGTTGGTTCTACTTTGATCTAAATATAAGGGAACTACTTACAACTGCCACCTCTTGAGTATGAAAGACACCTTTTGTTTAATATGCCAGCAAGCAAATGAGTCCTCATAGTAGCATGCATTAAGATAAAAATAGGAACATGAAGAGAGATGGCCCTTCTGCTGTTGTCAGGCTCTCACACTCTGTCCTCACTTGCTCCCTCTTTAGGTTTCAACCTGCGTAAGACGGAGGCGCAGCGTGAGCAGGAGAAGAGGGATCACTCCAACAACGATGTGGCCGCCATCCTGTCCCGTCGTATCGCTGTCGAGTGCAGCGACAGCGAGGATGACTCCTCAGAGTTTGACGATGACAATTGGTCAGACTGATCATCCTCTCTTTTCTCCTTCACTAGCCACTTCACTCTCCTCAGCCTTGAAACAACCTCCTTGTATTTCCGGTGTCATTACATTCAGTGAAGCAGAGGTCCACGTTCTGTGTCTGTCAGATGTTCAGTATGTACAAGTGACCTATTACAAATCACATTCCTTAATCATGTATTTCTATTTATCCCCAATTATTCCTACCAGAGGTGCAAAAGTCCAAAGATTGAGAAATGTGTGTGTGCCTGCTTTTGTCTTTTGTTACTGCTTTCTGTCACACGGCGCTGTTGTTAATGTGAGAGTTGTGACGAGGCTCAGGACTCTCTGCTGAGTCCGTGCGTAAACACCTCTGTCTTCTCTTATTATGAGCCCTTTGCTTCGGGCTAAATGTCAGATTTGATCCGCTTTAGTATATTACAGCAAAGGATAACAGAGGTAGTACACACACCTCACCGGCAGCCTCTTCCACACACAGTATTTCTATGTACTCTGTTAAAAGACTAAACATATTTGCGCAATCGTCTATCATATAATATAGATGTAAAGTTTATATTACATATTGAATCATATGAGCTAAAGGTAATTGATGCAATCCTTTTTATATCCCCATTTTTTTATCACTTTTCCTTTCCTCACTTTTTTTATTCAGACACAATTCACGTGCAAATGAGACATAGTTAAAGTTTATCAACAGATTAATTATGCAGTGTGATGGGGGGGGCAGTGGCTCAGGGCCGACACCTGGGGCGTGTGATGGGATGATCACGCTGAACACACACATGATTGATTCTGTGTCCTGTTTCCTCTTTCCTCTTCTTGCTTATATTATTTTCTGGGGATCAACTAGGCTCTGATGTTTTAATCACTGTTTTTGTCTGATAAGTGCCTTTTTTTTAATACTGCATCTCGGTGTCAGTGCAGCTTTATTATGTTTATCCACACTGGTCACTGATCAGCTTCTTCCATTCGTATTGTCAGCTGTCGTTAATGAGTCAAATGTAGAACAGCCTGATGTTTAGTATGGACAACATGTGTCTCAAGTGCCTTTTATTTTAAATGTGCCTGTGATGAAGCACAATCACACAGCATGCTTTGCCAAAGCTTCTCCTGCCTTGAATTTCCAAATGATTATTAGTTATTTCAATAAAAGATAGAGTGAATTGCAGTGATTGTTTAGTCTTCTTTCCTGCGAGAATGTGTATGCTTTGATGTGAATAATAAGTTGCCAAGAATGTCGAGCCTTGGGATAAAACTCCTCGTGCTTTCTCCATGACTCATCTTCTTCATATCAGCAGTGGACACCTTTTGTGCCCAGTGCTGACTGTAGGGAGTGAGAAAATGAATCGATCGGATTCAACTTTAGAAAACGAGTAGGAGGAGAGAAAACCTCTTGCGCAATCACTTCATCCTCACACCAAGGCTGCTTTGTAGTTTTTTTTTTAAAGAAGGCAGTGGATGCAGAGTGATGGTAATGACGTTGAAGATTGCTTAAGCCACCAAATAATTTAAGATACAGGAATAGGGAGCAGCAGTCTGAGCCTTATTGAGTTAAAGGGTGAGAGATAGAGAGAGACAAACTCTAAAAGCCTCGGCAGCGGTAAAAGAAAAGAGTGCTGACATCGCCAAGTAGAAAAAAAAGCATATTTATTATTCATCGGTATAAAATATTCATTCATTTCAAAAAGGCTGTGCAACACGAACATATGGTCAGTACCTTTTCAAAGTGCCTTTGACAGCATGTGCAAAATAGAATCTCAAAGATCTAGGACATTTTGTTTTCTAGACATTCAAGTAAATACAATTTGGCTTTTGCTCACGTGTCATTACACTGTAACAGGCTTACATTTAAAACCAATCCCTTCCTCCCGCCATAAAGTGCCAATGGTGATTAAATCCACTTTCTATGAGTGGGGGTATACCATATTAAGCATCCCTGTGATTGTTTCAGTGGAGCTACAATTGACTGAGGATGAGGCACAAAGTACAAACAAGACAGTACGTTTAGTCTGTAGTCCAAAAATGTCTGCCAGCCAGGACAGGCCAGAACATTCTGATTTGCAGAGGAGGAACTTTATCTCTCTGAGAAGTGCTTCTTATGTGTGTGTGTGTATATGTCAGTGTGAGCGAGACTTTATGTTCTGGATGATGGTCAATGCAGCTATCTTGGCACACAAACAGTGATATGTCTGGCATAGAGTGTGTGGTGCTTTGAGTCCCATGGTGAGGTTTGGCAGTCTACACATCGGCAGGGTAGTTTGTGTGTGTGTTTTGTGTGTATCTGTGCGGGCAGCAGGCCTGGAGCAGCACCTTGCGAATGTCTTTGTTTCTCAGACTGTAGAGGATCGGGTTCAGCAGCGAGCTGCCCGCCGCTGGCACCAAAGTGGCATAGGTGTACAGAGGAGGGCTGGACGCGTCCCCCAGCAGCCCCCAGAGGGAGAAGGGCATCCAGCAGCCCACAAACACACTGAGCACCAGGATCAGACGAGAGAAGCCCCTCCCACTGCTGTGTTTGCTTGCATACGAGTGGTTGGCAGGGAGGAAGTGCCTCTGGGTGGCTATGGCGTGGGCGTGCCGCCTCGCCACACGGCAGATCCCAGCGTACAATTGTAGGGTTATCATGACAACCACCAGGAAGCCACCACACAGCAGCGACAGGTAAGTCCGGGTCAGAGGTCGTGCTACAGAACAGGAGTTTGGCATACCCAGACAGTGCCATCCCATCGCAGGCCCCGCCCCAATGATGCACGCCCCCACCCAGACCAGCAGCAGCAGGATGGCTGCTCTATTACGTGATTGGCTCGACCCATAGGTGAGGGCGTTGCTTAGAGACAGGTATCGGTCCAAAGCGACACCCATCAGGCTACAGAGAGAGGCAGTCAGGGATGTCACCAGTAGTCCTGAGGTTATCAATTCTGACCAATCACTGGGCTCCACGCAGAACAGGAAGAGGAAGTGCAAGATCAGAGCAACGCCCGCCAGGAGATCAGCCAATCCGAGGCTAGCGAGCAGCAGGAAAACGGGGGCGCGAAGAGAAGGTGTGGCCAGGATGGTGGTGACAACTATGGCATTTTCTGTGGCAATGAGAGTTCCTGAAATACACAGGGCCACACCCCACACGGTGAGGGGCGGGACTTCATATTCAGGTGAGCTTTCAAGTTTGTCCAGTGGGAAGAAGGGGTCTGAACCTGAGGACTCATCCCAGCCCAGGTCAGACGCGTTCAGGATCATGGCTTCTCAGCAGTCACACGGACAACCTGAGAGAAAAAAAGCAGGAAAATGTTGTCATTAGCTCTAATGGGTCATTAGCATATCCATCTGTCCAGTAAAATGGCTTTCCTCAACCAGAAGCTGTGGTTTTCTGCCTTTAGAGGCCGGATGTGGCATCTACAGCGGAAAAGGATTTAATGTAGTGATGGAGAATTTAAGATGTTATATTGTTGTTATCTTGAGCTGTTAATAAAATAGATTATCACTATAGTGCATTAAGATGTATTTAAGGTTGTCATGCTCCCATTACTTGTAATGTTACAATGTTGTTTAGTATTGGGTATTTTATTATAAAGGGGCAGTACAGATGTATTATTATTATTTATTAAAAATGACAAAAACAAAAAACGTAGTCTTTAGTGTGCAATTTAAAAATGAACATTGAAAGAACTTGAACGAGACATTTAAAATAAAAAAATCCCCATTCTATCCTTTTAAAATGAGCCATCTCAAATTGAATTTCTTAGATAACTGACCCACCAGCACAATACAAATGTGTTTATTTAAAAATAATTGTAATTATTTAGCTACTGAAATGTAAGTGACGTCACTATAGTCGTGCGGGAAGCCACGCAAATCATAGTCAATCGTGAAGTCAAATATGTAGGCTTCAATCGACTTGATGAATATAGTTATCAAAACATGAATGCACCATTAGGCTGCATTGATTAAACTGTCATTCATGTATTTTCTGAATCGGAGCTGTTACCGGCTTCGACCCTTGGTTTTTATCCTGCGCACGTTTCAGGTGCTTCCAGCCATCTTACATATATATTTCTTTGTATCTGGTTAAAATTGAATCTGTAAACTATCTTCCAGATGACGTTGGTGAGCTAGATTGTGAGGGTTTTTCTTTTATGGTAATATCCAAATATGATGTTTAACTGAACTGTGTAAACCTCTGGCAGATTACATGCAGTCTTCATGAATGAGAAAGCCTGCTCTTCATAGGCTATTTTAAGATTTACAAGGTTACGATGCCTCTCTCTTATCAGCTTGTTCTTTAGCGTATATCAACGTGTACTGAAAGAAAATACCACAAGCTATTTATACAATTGAACGATTATTCTTTGCGCAGGAGTTTTTTATAAAATTAATCAGGAATGTTTCATCCTCCCTCTCGCATCTCAGTAAGGAGGTATATCCCACGTACTGGTGCGGAGGACCCTGTTGTATAATACACTTTCAGGTCCATTGCACAGCAGAAGATGTCCCCGACACACGATCATGCATAACACATACAGGTATACATGAATTTAAGAATTTAATCTCACCTTGTTAACGCGATTCCTTGATTATTTTTGTAAGAGTTTTAAAAAGAACGTGCTCTCCTCTTATGAGACCCAGGGCAGATTATGGAGATGTGGCGATGCTGTCCACGGAAATGATCGGTTCCAGTCTAAAAAAGGAGAAACGTCCTGCTCCGGGCTCCTGTCTTCATCAAAGTTCTGCAAAACTCAGTCTCTTGCATCTCCTTTTCTTCAATCTCTCCTGGGCGCTTACGGGAGGCAGAATGGATGCTCTTGCGCGCGGACTGTACCACAAGAGAGCCTGTCTGACGTCAGTGACTGGGAGGCTCGACCAATGAGGTGCAGGAATTGAGGATGCGGGGTGATTGGGGAGGGGGCTGTATAGGGAGTAATTTCATTCAGAAAAATGCGGCATCCCGGTTGCTCCTCCCACTGCGGTCCACTCTCAATTCTTGTAAATAATGACCAATACACCCCCCCATTCCTTCCCCCTCCAGTACACACACGGATTTTCTCAATAAGACCCTGGGGAAGGGTTGATTGAGACGGTATTGTTTTATGTTGGGCAGGGCTGAGCGGTGCATGGGCATTGGGAACAGAGCTCAGGGCTTGGTGCTGTCCACGGTGCTGAAACCTTCAGGATGAGTCATGGGGAGATGTCTTGCAGAGCATCAATAAGCTGTGTGAAATGGACACTTTAGACGACACTATCCACCTCTATGAATGAATAAGCACAAACATGCACCTTTCCCACATCTAGAACCTTGCTAAACTGATTTTGACCTACTAATATTGATATCATTTAAAGCAGTGATGTTGATAGTAGTTTATTTTCAGGGATGGGCAGAAACAACAGTCTATGTTATCTTTCAATCATTTTAATACAACGTTAGTAAAAATAGAAGCTTCCACATTTATCATAGAATTTAACAATCATCTCTCTGACACTATTTATTATTTATGAAAATTGTGTATGAATAATACAAAGAAAAAGTATATAATAATAATAATTATTATTATTATTATTATTATTATAATAGCTCTTGAATCATTTTTGAAATATTCTCTGTGCCTGAATGCATGTATAAAGATGAGGATGGAAAAGTGTTTCCGACAAAAATACAAAAACAGGAATGGCTTTTATTATACTTGTTGTATTAAGTTCTCTTTTCTTTCGCACACCTTGACATAGAAAGACCCCCCTGTCTACCCACAGTTATTCAACAGCAGGGAGCACGAGGCTTCCCCAGCTTGGTGCGCGTGGGTGCTGCAAGATGGGCTTTACGGTTGTCTGCGTGGTCGCGCATATCAATGCGTTTACTGGGGGAATCTCGTCCTTCTCGAGCCATATTAGGAAACACTTCCTGCCAAATCCCTCCTCGTCATTTAGTACAATAGTTGTCACCTACCAAAAAAAATATTCGGAAAAGTATGAGGAGCAAGACCTACTATATCCTTTTGGTTATACAAAACATTATATAATACATTTTTTAAATATATATACACATCACACAAAAAAAGAACCAGGGAACATTTGTATATTATTTCTTCATGTCTGAGCTTTCCTCTCCCTAAACACTACATAGGCTACGACTCTTATTTCATGTCCTTGCATTATTGCCGATCATTCAGTTATATCAGCTGTGGATTTCTTCTATATGTCTCTCGGTGTCTTTGGTTGTAAATTACAGCATTATCCAAGAGTTTTTCGCTGGTGTGTCGATTTATTGCCAGCGGTGGGAGCATCACTGTTGAAGAAGATCGTGTTCGACATGACTGCGATGCGGAATATCCCTTCGTGGGTTTTTTGTTGTTGTTGTGTGCACACAAACACAAAACAGCCGGCCCGTAGAGATGCACAGATGTACCCAGACAATGTGTGAGAGCATATGACATGTGAGAGGATACTATGAGCCATGTGTGTGGAGGCGGTGAGGATGATGACGATGGAATTAACTGACGTGATCCTGTGCTCAATGCATCTGATTTTGAGGACTTGCAGCCCGGGGCGATGACTCAGTTGACTTTATCACAAAGCAACAGGTTGCATGTCAGAGCGCTTGCACGTTTTTTTGCTGGTGCACGTGTACGTATTCAGGGGTGTGAAGATTGTTTTCTTTCTCTTTTTTTCACATCACCAATCTAGAAAGGGATACATCCAGACCATCTGTCTCGTGCCCATATGCTATATGTTTGATTATGACCTAATAGTTGACTGTAAAATTAGTATCAAACATGACATGTATTTGTGGTCCTATTTATTGTGATTTTATTTTTTACATTTGCTCTAATCTATTTCATAAACACAGCTATTGAAAGGTATTTCAGTAATTATTAAGAGCCTTTGTTCATAACCTTCTTTGTGTCATAAAAGTTAATAAATGATTGCTTGAAAAGTGACTCTGTAACACTTCACAAATCAAAATCAGTCACACATTTGGTGATAGACTATGACGCAGACTCTCTACAGCAAATGTCACATGCCAACATGTTTTAAAAAGCATTCACACCACACTATAAATACAGCTATCCTAATTTGAACCAGTCAATCAACACACTATTATTGACCGGCCCCATCACTTATGAGGAACAAGATAAACTGCCTAAACCAGAAGGTTCCAGTTAATACCTGTTAAAAACATGTACTTGTTTGATTCTTGACAGGAAATAAAAAGTTGAATATATTCCTGATGGTTCTAGCTTAAAACATTCATTGCCACCTTTAATTGGCTTGCGATCACTTAAAAATAAAGCTGCTTGACAACCCTTGTCATGCTTATGGATTTTGAGTGAACAAAAAAGGCATTTCCCTTCTTGTTTAGTCTTAAACATTTGAAAATGCCTCTACAGTACATTTAGTTACAAGTAATTCACAATTAAAAGTGTCAGAAACATGTAATTGTTGTCTAGCAGGAATGCCTTTAACAGTTGTGGTAATGGTGCTCTATGACAAACGCAGAAATATCTCATTAATGATTGGAGGGATTATCATGAAATTTGCTTCAAACATTCATGTTGTCCAGAGGATAAATTACACTTGAACAGTTGTTTTTTCTTTCTTGTCCCCTAAATTATCTGATTATTATTTTGGGGTCACTTGATTGGTCCCCGTCCCTTGGTTGGGACCCACTATCCTACAACATACGCTGATTTGTGTAATGTAAACATATTTATATACAATAACTGATTATTTAATATTCCCATTTTCCTCCCCATTATTTGAGCAGTTTGTAAGGACAGAAGTGTGAAAGCAGGTCTGTGTGTGTGTGTGTGTGTGTGTGTGTGTGTGTGTGTGTGTGTGTGTGTGTGTGTGTGTGTGTGTGTGTGTGTGCGTGCGTGTGTGCGTGCGCTGCCAGCCGAGGCAAACCATGTCACTCCATCCAACCCGGTGTGTGTTTCAGGAGGGTTGAGGTGGGCCAGTTGGTTGCCAGGTGACCAAGTTTGGGTGTTGCTCATGTTACACAGGTCTCTGCGTCTTTCTCTCTGTGTCCCAGCAAGCTGCCATATCTCCCTTTGCAACGATTGGATCCACTTTGCGGACTTACAGAAGATATATTTTAACTGAAGCCTTTTTGTTGATACTTATTCTTCCCCGAGCGTAAAGTCTTCAGCTCTCAGTTGCAGGTGTTGGTGCTGTGAGGCTGTCAGGATGCAGATGGTGGTGAAGGTCCTCTGCTCCACACTCCTGCTTATAGCAGTGGTGCCATTTGTGTTCCCACAGTCAGGTATGGGTCCATCCATTTCTCTTATACTCTTCATTTAAGACCATCTCCATGTATTTTAGTTTTGTCAGGAACCTGTTGGCATGTTTTTTCTACACTTTGGCATCTACTTACCCTTTCTCCCTGTTTCCATTTGATCTCCTTCAAGAGATTCCCTGATAACGTCTCTTTGTATTTACTGTGATGATAGCTTATCCTACAATAACTCCCACAAGCTCACAACAATAAGACAGGTGAATGAGAATCTCCTGCGGCACTACTAGCCAATTGTGTCCACACACTGACACTATCCAGACTAGTGGGATGTATTGTAACAATTAGACCGTTGTAATGTGTCTGTGGGGGATAATTATACATCGGCCAATTAACCGCTTTGACTGACACTTCTAATTGACTGCCAGTCTCGTTCCTCCTACAGATTGTTCTCAAGCTGAATCATGTGACCTGTGCGTTGGCGATTCCATGCTGAACCTGACAGGCTGTGTCTGGAGGCTTTGTCCAGATGGTGATGCGCGCACACACACACACACACACACACACACACACACACACACACACACACACACACACACACACACACACCACACACACACACACACACACACACACACACACACCACACACACACACACACACACACACACACACACACACACACACACACGCACACACGCACACACACACACGCACGCACACACCCCTGACCTCTGATAGTAATTCAATCATCAAAGCTGCTGTAACATAAGCTTCCCGGGTTTGTACAAGACGTCTGAATTATTTAGTGTGCCAGGAACACACACATGATATGACACACACACACACACACACACACACACACACACACACACACACACACACACACACACACACACACACATTAAAATACTTGTTCTCTCCGTCTCAGGTAATGATACAGGCATGTGTGTGACTGATGGGGGCAACTCAGCAGACGACGGCAGGAACTGTAGCTGGACTAGAGTGTCTGAACTGTGCTCAGGTAGAAAACAAAACACTTCTTAATGAACAAAATGCATGTCTGCCACCTCACTAAAGTTCATTTATTTTGCATGTCTAAATTCCCAGTTGTGGAGAATGTAGCTGACGGAGAAGGTAAAAGTGACTCAGGTACATTTAATCGACTCCAGCATCCCCTCCTACCCCCATTTCCTCTCTCTTGCGTCAGACATTCATTATTCCCATAAGAGCTAAGTAAAATGTTCTCCAATGACACTCAATCAATTGCACCAGAAAAACGCTTTTTTCCCACCTCACACTGCTTTCATGTGATTGTATTGTCAACCCATCAAACACTTCCTTTCTTTTCCTCTAGGTGATGGAAGTAACACCAACTCAGAGTTCTCCCAGGCCAAGTTTGACATGTCCAGCTTCATTGGAGGCATCATCCTGGTGCTGTGTGTGCAGGCAGGCGGCTTCTTTGCCATGCGCTTCCTCAAATCCAAAGAGCAGAGCAACTATGACCCCATGTGAGTTTGCCCACATAGGTGAAGAGAGGACAGATAATTTAGCATGATTGTATCAGTATGTGTGTCACTGAGTTTAGAGTATCTGTTGGAGCAACAGCAGCCTCTGCTGGGCGTAGTGATCAGCATCAACCGATGTTAAATGATTCACCTTTATCGTCCCTCTAGATTGAATTTAGATTCTGATCACAGCCTTTATCAAGTTACATTTCTGTTTGTCTTCACACAGAGAGCAGCCACAGTGAAGAAAAGATGTATGAAGGACAACCAGGCGAGGGCGGAGGACAGCAGAGCAGTGACTCATCGAGTGTTTTTTTTTTTTTCTGAGCCCCTGTCAGTTTTGGTTTGGTCCCCATGTGTAACCCCCTAGGGGATGGGTGTGTTATAGGAGGACATTTCCCCCCAAAATACTACATTGTGTAATGAGTGTATGTGTTCCCTGTGATTGTATAGACTTTACATTCCAGAGAGACTTTGGCTGTTGGTATTTATATGATCTGACAAATCTCAGCGCTTTCAGAGAAATATCTTAATGACGTACTCAACATAAATTCTCAGTGTTTGTTCTCCTACAAACGACAATGAACTAGCTTTATAAAATTAGCTGTTTAACTGTGTAAATAGTGCAGTGGTGGGAAAGAGTGATATAATCCCAATGCAGGCAGTAGGTCATAAATGGCATTTAAAAGCGTAAACAGACCAAAATGAGAATCTGAATGTTGTGTTTCCTTCATCTCAGAGGATGTGTGTGTTTCATGTGGTGCTGCATAACTCTCTTTAGTGTTTTATTGAAACCAAACATTTAAATATTTATGTATGTCATATCTTTTTGATTTCTTGAGCAGTGAGTTAGGTGATCTTAATGCAGGTACCCTTAGGAGCCATGTCAAAAACTCTTGAAGGTCCCTGGACAGCACCTTTGGCAACATGATAAATGACTGTCTAAGCAATAGTGGAAGTCATTTAAGCTTCTATCTACCAAAAAGGTATTCACCACCCCTCTGATTTGTGTGTGTTTTTGCTCTGATGTTTCAATAGCTCAGAGTCTTTTTTAATAATTAATTTCTAATTTCTGTTTTGACTGCTCACGTTTATATTATATGCATATCAGCTTCAACCCTATAATAGCAATTAAACAACATTTAAAGTGATCCTGTTTACTTACAGTATGGTAAAGTGTTCAATATAATCAGAATTTCTTTTTTTGTTGTGATGCCATTACAATTAAAATGTTGGCAGCCTGAATAAACTAACGATAATTACCTTTTTTTCTGTTTGATGTTTTCTTTTTGCATTCTAATGAGGAGTTGGAATAAGTAATCACAGTGGGGGTTTGTAAAGTATGTTTTGAGTGCCTATTCCAGCAATGAGTGACTGAACAGATTCTGCTGTGATCTGGGCATGTGACATGTTCCCAGTATAAGAAGCACCCATTGATCCTTATGGGTGTCAGTAGGGATCCCAGCATGCAGCAGGGACAGATTGCTGGTGGAGGCCTTTAGGAAGCAGCAGGTCGGCTGGTTGGAGGCACCAGACACTGTATGTGCGGCTGTGCCAGGACCTACACAGGCTTGAATAGGCCCACACAAAACGTTTTCCAACTGGGCAGAACATGGCTGCCATCCAAGTATGTTGACAAAGGACAGGACTGAATACAAGTCTTTTTCAAGCTGAATGCATGCACCCTCCCCCAACGCTCATATTGCCACCTTAAACTTGAGACAAGCTTCCAGTGCTATACTCCCTTTAAAACAAGCATACATCCTTGTTTGCATGTGTCCAGTTGTTTGTGTAGTTACAGAGAAGGTGCAGTGTGTGACCGAGTGTGTGTTTAGCAGGTGTGGACAGATACAAGGAAGAAAAGTTACATGCCACCTCCACCCTGTAAAACATCCATGTGTGTGTGTGTGTTGATACGGTGTGTTTGCCTGACTGTTTGATATGACTCTTTCTCACACACACACACACACACACGCACACACTGTATTTTCCGTTTGTTCCTGCTTCCCAGCTGACTCTGGAGGGCGTGTTCACTTCGTTTACTTTGCACACAGACCTCGAGACGCACCGCACTCTGGACAACTTTCCACTAAACTTTTCCACAGATAGAAGTGGCGGAAGCTCCCAGCTAAGGTAAGACAGTTTTACCTTGGGGTTTAATGTTGCCGTGTGTATTTGTGATGAACGTCAGAGAGGGAAGAGTTTAATTAACCTTTGGTCAAAAAAGAGGAAAAGGCGACAGGTGTCCTCTCTCTCGCGCGCCCATGATGATAAAAAGTAGTGCACAGACCTATTTTCATGAAGAAAAAATTGTGCTAACAGCCAGAAAGCGAAATTATCTCATTATCGTTGTGTACGAATGGACTATGTAGTAATAACTAAAAGCAAATATAAGGCTTCTACAAGAACATATTATTAGGAGAGCCTATGATATGCTAGCAACTTCATTATATTATTTGTTGTTTTTGTCTTGGTGTAAGTATCCAGTTATGAAAGCTTGAGCACTCCTGTTTGCCAAACTCCTAACACCAGGAGGATCACTCTGCGCATGCGCTAATTACCCGGAGGTAACTAGCCTAAAGGCACACACACCACCACACAGACGCACATTATCATTGACATAAAAGTATTATACTGCGATGCAGCCGGTTATTGAACATACAGACGTTGCTTTACTGCATTTCCCCCCCCCAACATGCTTCTCTGTTTCAAATCAAGAAATAGAAGCTTAAATAATCAAATGTATTTCCAAGCCTTTTTTAGGTAAGGGGTTTATATAGTGTTTAATGAAGAGAATTTGGAGCAGGGTCAGATGAAAGCCATTGAAACAGACAGGTTGCCTTCCTGACACAACATATGTCCTTGCCGATGCATATTTCAAACTGCATTGAATAGTTTGACAATGTTAACCACAAGATAAGAAGGACTAATCTTCTCAAACCTTGTTGACATATGCAACATGTGAGGGGAAGTAGACAACGCTCAATTTTAAGGGGTCACAGGGCAATTTGGGAAACATGGTTAAGCATGCCAAAATGTTTTCTGAAATATATGTCAGTCCCCACAACATAACTGTAATGTATACCTTGTTTAAATGTAATTTAATATAAACAGGGCCTGTCCTGGGTCTTGTAGGTGTTGTGGTCTTTCCTCCTCTCAGGGATGGAGGAGGAGCCGGTTGATTCTTCTCTTGATCTGACCTTCCTGACAGAAGAGGAGCAGTCCAGCATCCTGCAGGTCATACAGCGGGACTTGGATCTGCGTCGTCGCGATGAAGGACGTGTAAGGTCAGAGGTGACTGTTTTTCCTATTTAGCTGCCAGTTTTGCCTACTAACATACAGAGAGGTGAAACATTAGACTTAGCCAGAAGTGGCAGGAAAGAGTAAGCAGTGGCAAAACTGGTTAACCTGTGTGGACAACAACAATCACATTTTATTCCTTACCTCAATTTCATCTCGGAGTACATTAGCATTATGGTTGCACTCAAAGGGCCGGTTGTAACTATATAAATATACATATATAATATATATATAAAATAATGTATTATATTACACTATTGCCAATTGGATTATTATTGGATAGGATAATTAACTACCAACTACGTCTGAAAGCAGAAGTCCAGGGCAAATAATTGCAAGTCTCTTCAGTGTGCATTTCACAAAATGAGATGCATTGTGGGACATGTAGTTTATGGGCAACCTGCTTCTGTAAAGTGGCACGTAACCGTATAATAAACGTATTATATTCTTTGCAAGCTCTTGCGGGCCACATAAAATGAAGTCGCAGGCCGGATTTGGCCCCCGGGCCTTGAGTTTGACACCCCTGCTTTAAACTAACTATCAAAACGCACACAGACCATGGATGTGTTGTTGACAAGCCCTTCTACGTCACTACTGGACACACTTCAATGACTCACTAATGCCTCTCAGGCTTTTGGCAATCTGGCTTCACTATCCTCAAGAGCCCCCAAAAGCCTGGCTTCAGTTTGGGAATTCAAAGAACTTCACAGTTAAATGTTTTCTGCCTACAGAGCAGAGCAGCTCCTGTTATTGATCACTGGTCACCTTCTTTAGTCACATAGACTGTCTAAGTTAGTAAGGTCTAATAGTCCCCCTGTTGTTTCCTGTGTGTGATGCATGAGTTGATTAATCTTTACACTGGGGCATTAGCTGATGACAAAGTTGTATTATTCAAAGAGAAGTGCACCTGTTGTTTTTAATGTTGTTAATTTTGTGGGTTTATTTATTTGACACGCATGCCTTTTAAACGATAATGTATGACATGTTTATCGTTAGAGTTTGATCTATAGTCTTCATTGATTTTTAGAATTAAATGAATATCTTTTTTATTAATTAATAAGATGGCATCGGAAATCATACACTGAACAAAAATATAAATGCAACACTTTTGTTTTTGCTCCCATTTTTCATGAGATGAACTCAAAGATCTAAAACATTTTCTATATACACAACATAACCATTTCTCTCAAATATTGTTCACAAATCTGAAAAAATCTGTGATAGTGAGCACTTCTCCTTTGCCGAGATAATCCATCCCACCTCACAGGTGTGGCATATCAAGATGCTGATTAGACAGCATGATTATTGCACAGGTGTGCCTTAGGCTGGCCACAATAAAAGGCCACTCTAAAAATGTTCAGTTTTATCACACAGCACAATGCCACAGATGCCGCAAGTTTTGAGGGAGCGTGCAATTGGCATGCTGAAAGCAGGAATGTCCACCAGAGCTGTTGCCCGTGAATTGAATGTTCATTTGGGAAAAATGGGAGCAAAAACAAAAGTGTTGCATTTATATTTTTGTTCAGTGTATATATTTCAGTATAAACAGTGATTGTTTAGGCAAGACTGACATCAGCTGACTTTTGCAGATAGTATTTCATGATTGTTTGCTGTTAAACTGCTTTAAAACGTGGCCCTTTCTCCACGCTGCAGGGTCCTCCAGGAGGCGGAGACGGACCCGACCCGTATGCGCTTCCTGTCAGGGGAATGGTTCAAAGAGCAGAGTATCAAACGCCATCGCAGCCAGACGTCTGTCAGCGCACTCGTCCACTCAACCATACGCCGCAGGAAGTCCAAGACCAGAGGTCAGTTTTCAGGTATTGCATAGGTGTGGTGGCGAAAATCATGAAGAAATAAAACAGAAAATGTCATTTAAAATAAAATTGCCACTGAGGCACCAGTTAGTGAATCTTATGCAGGGGAATGATCCAAGTCCAGGCAAAAAGGGTGGTTTCTTACATTTATTTCCAATAAACAAAGTACAATGAACACTGAAAT